TTATTCAAGCTAGACAAGTATGGCATTGTTCTAGTTACTTACCAGCCAGACTTTATGGCTTCTTTTTCTTCTTTTTTTTAAATTCATACGTCCTTGCTTCTGCAGGTTTGATGTTGGTGGTGATGGAGCATGTTTGAAGAGATACAGTGATCCATCCCTTTTTATGATGGAATTGACATCCTCCAGATTGGTGGAACATGACCCTCGGAGAGAAAAAAGAACTTGCAAAACAAAGGTGGGCAATTAAAAAACACTAAAAATGACCGGCAAGGAATAATACTCATTGCATTTACTTTTAGGTAGGATATATTTTTCACAAGACCTACTAGATTGGCTTCTTTTGTAGGTGACAGAAAATAAATATACAGTGAGCAAATAACATGATGATGACTTTGACTTTGTCCTAGGAAGAGTGATACATGGCTCCCTATGCACATTATAATTTTAATGACACCAGTTCTTAAACCCAACCCTTTTCCATGTATTCGTTTCCAGTGTTGTGTCAGGTATGCTGAAAATCTGTATTACTTAGTATGTTCCTTAGGGAATGGCCCTATTTAAATTGACCAAATAAATAAAAATAATACCGCATGGCTAGTTTAGTATCCTGTCAAAGGTTTCTTATATTGAATTTATTTTTTCCGAATATCAGATTAATATCTCTTTCCATTGACTTAACAAAAGCTGAGATACCAGCACTAAGTTCAGTTACAGCCTAATATCCATAAAACCTGGGGTTGATGCTAGCTTAAATACCCATGAACTGATGATAGTAAGTGACAAGGAGTTGATGCTTATTATGTCTATTTTTTCTACTTAAGCATAATGACTTTCAGCTTGACATTATATCCAATGTTCTGTTGGAGAATTGTTTAGGTTGTGTCTTTTTCTCTTCTTTGCACCAAGAACTTTTGTCAGTTAAAATTGCCACTTCTTTCTCTCTCCAGAAGAAGGTATCATTTTCCTGTGGTGGTGAACCACCTAAATCTTTCTTAATGTCTCACTTTGATTCCAGGTATTTCTTTCTTGATACCTTTATAGAACTTTGTCCTCTGAGGGTCTTTCTTTGTCATAAATTGATACTGTGTATAGATTGCAGCCTGCTACTTCTGGCCAAGTTCTTGACAAAGTAACCTTACAACATGTCAAGTTGAAACCTAGACAACTGAATGAATCAGTTAGTCACAGTCTAAGAAGTTACATGGAGAATCATATTGATTTGCTTCCAACAGAGCAGCAAGTGGCTTCCGAGACATCTATAATTCAATCCATCGGAATGAAATCTGCTGACTTGATTAAGTCGGCCACTGAGGTGCATGCAATTGTAGTTGATACATCTTCCAACAGAGAGAAAAACCAAAGCCGATCTCCTACCAAGCAGGAAATGACAACTGCAGGTGACTCGGAGAAGCAGAAAATAGAAAGGATGAATTTTTCAGATAAACAGTTTGAGCCAACTAGTGAAGTACAAAACGTGCATTCTGTCTATTTTATGCTGGAAGAAAAGGCAGTAGTTTCCGAGAATAAAAATATAACTGAAGGCCGTTTATATGGTTCTCAGCCTAGTGAAGTAGACCTAAATCTTTCAGTTGATCAAGAAGTCGAACAAAATGGATTTTCACCTGATACTGAATGTAGATCACAAAACAGTTCTGATGGCTATATTTCTGATGAGATTTCTAGTGACTTGGACAATTACATGGACGCACTTACCACAATGGAATCAGAATTAGAAACAGATGCTGAGAATCAAGGTAATACAGATTCGGTTTTTGTCAGCACTGAATCTCAAGAGACAGATTCTGATGCAAGTGATGCTAATGAGGAACAGGAGGAGTTGCAAGCTCAATATTCTAAACAGTATTTTATCAAAAATTCTGCTTCATCACCAGGTTTCACTACAATATTCAGGAAAGGGGCAGCAAATCTTTCCTTCTCAGATACTTTAGGTCATATGGCTGCTCAATTATTAGAAGAGAACAAGAATGACTCTGATTTTCCTCCAGAGTCAGATGTTGGCCTAGGCGAAATGAAGGGTACCCATTTTGAGCAGACATATAATGAGCCTGTGAAATGCAAATCTTCAGAGCATTCACTTCTAAGGGCATCAGATGTTTCTTCATCTGCTGTACACAGAGAAGCATTTTGTAGATCTTCTATCACAGACTTAACTTCTACAATCTCATTGGTTACGTTAAACATTATGGAGACATCCCCATCTTATGAGAGAAAAACTGACCAAGCTGTAAGCCATTTGGATGGTGAGTCACCATGCAAAATAGATGCTTCCGAACTCCCTTCTGAAGAAAAGATTAACATGTTACATGGAGAGTTTGCTAAAAACCCTGGCATCTTATCTGATTCTCTACACCATATGACAGACGTAAAGCTTTTGATGAAAGATGATATTCCTAAAGAAAGTGATCCCAATGAATATATCAAGGAGCAAAGCACACATGATGTGGTGAGTTCTAACAGGCCGGTGCTTCACTTGCAGAAACAACATGAAACTGCTCTTGAAGTAGGTACCACAGATATCGAAGTCTCAGACCATATAAAGTCTCAAGAGTCAGAAAAGCATGATCAAGGAGCTTGTTGCCTTGTGAAGCCTGCTGTACTGGATGAAGATTTGGGAAATGCCATCACAGGTAATGACAGTTTAGCAGCTTCAACATTGGTATTAACACATGAAAATGCCGATGCTGTAACCCAAGGAATAACTCCCATACCTAACATGTCAACCAGTAAGGAGGATATTTTATCTGGGGCACATGAATCTCCATGGACCTTTACTGGACAAAAAGCATTTTCTGATAACACGGATGTCCTGTCTGAACCTGTTGGAATAATCTTATCTACTGAAAATGAACTGCCGAAATGCAATCCAGAAGAATCAGGTGACGACATTACCAGTGATGTTGATTTTAGCGAATCTAACATGCCATCATCAAATGAAACCATATGTGGGGAACTTTCTTTTGAAGGATCTATTCCATTTCAATGCAATTCTGATTTGCATAAAAATACCTCCGGTTCTGTTTCGGTACCTGCTCCACTAATCCGGTTGAATAAGGACTCGATATCTGAAACTATTCTGCAGCAATCTTCTGAACAGCAGCCACAACTAGCTTCGAGTGCACCACTTCCAGAGGATAATGTTACATCGGAAGATACTAAAGAGATACTTCCAGGGAGATTGACAAAACCCCCTCGGGCTTCTCTTGTCTCCAGTTGTAGTGTGGCCCAACCTCCAAGTGGATCAAACACTGACATATCATTATCAACCGTTGAGAACGAACATTCAGGAGAGTTACTAGCTGGAGTTGAAATTGCAGGGTCAGATTGTACCGTGCAGTCTCCAAAATCATGTGATATAACAGTAGCTGTCAAGGGTGGCTACGAAGATATCTTACACTCGGATAGAAAGTTGGTGCACCCAGCTTTGGAGTTGCCACATGAAGAGGACAAGCCGGTGCATGATGGCAATGCATTTGAAGAAGATTGCATGAGAGCAACAGAACTGCCATCAACTGTAGAAAATGAAAGCTCTCGAGACATTTCTGTATCGAAAGGTTCAAAAACATATCCTCCAACATTGTCAGAGGTAATTCCAAGTTTAAATGAGAGGTGTCAAGATTTAGAACTAAAGAGATCTCAGAATGGTATTGCAGATGGTGAGAAGCACAAGGACACCCACGAAGTTGCTGGTTCTGCCTTAACTGTGAATGGTAAGCTTCCACTACCGCCATCCACAAAACCTAAGAAATCTGGACATGGATCTCTTTCTACAGAAGAAAAGGATTCATCCTCTTTACATTATTTAACCACACCGACTACAGAGAATGAGAAACCCACAAACAAACTTCGCTTGGTTATCAGTAGGCCTAATGACCCCTTGATTGAGGCTATTGCATCTCATGACAAAAGCAAGGTATGTAGTTTATTTCCTGCATAATCTTTAAAGTAACATTGGAAAACAATTTAATTGATGATTTTGCAGTTGAGGATTTGTCTATAGTACAGGACCATTTTAAAGAATTGTTCTCACCATGTCTATTTCATTTTGATGACTGCAGTTGAGGAAGGCACCCCAGCTGATTCATTCTTTGCCAAAGTCCGATGAAAAAGGATCGTTTCTGGAGCAGATAAGGAACAAAGTCGGTATCATGCTTTAGATAATAAAATCTTTGTCTCAAAGTAAAACACCTTTGATTATCATATATTGATGCATTTTGTTCTTTGTCAAGTCCTTCAACCTGAAACCAATGGTGGCACCGACAGTGAAGTTCAAAGGTGGCCCTCCAACAGACGTAAAGGTCATCGCCATTTTAGAGAAAGCAAATGCAATCCGGCAGGTCTGTCCTCTGGCTCAATCGGAAAACTATTGATCTGCTCTTACATTTGTTCTCTTTCTGGTTTCATACAGCCTCTCCTAAATTATTCCTTGATTTAGGCATGTGCAGGAAGTGACGACGACGATGACGAAGAAGATAGCTGGAAGAGTGATTCTTAGGAATCACTGACCACAAGAAGTACTTACAGAACTTCGAACGGATTCACTTTGCTGATCATTTTGAGATTAGAACGAGGGGATGATCGATGGAGTGTTGCTCAACGTTGAGAATCACATTCATGGAACTACTGCTACTATCTCTGTCACATATATGAACGTTACTGTTCTTGTTCAGATCAAGATTGACATGCCATCCGGGTAGAGTGTAGTTGTTGTATGGAGATCTACTACATCTATCGCATTTTTCTTCTTCGGATTATAGGATGATGTAATGACTGTCGGTAAGCACACCATGCGGTTCTTTTAACTGTCCTTACGAAGGCGATCTCGATCAGAAGGCCATAATCAGGCCCACGCTGATCAGTGGGTGGATCTTGTAATGGCGTGCGTCGCGGTACGTGTAAGCTACTTCTCACCCTTCACCCGTTCTCGAGCATCGGCTTCGATGTATGTTCTCGACTCCACTCCCGCAATATAATATAGTTTTCCCGGTCCTCCTTTGGGTCCGCCCCCCTCCCTTTGCTCCCCTCTCCTTCTCCGCTCTGTTGTATGGGCAAACAACTCCCATCGCCGACGAGCCTACAGAGATACGCCCGCCTAGCAGTCGAGACGATCCGGAGAGCCAAGATCGCGAAGCCCGCCCTTAAATCTCTGGCTTCGGGCAAGGAGGAGGCAGCGGCCGCCCCCTCTAGAGGTCCGGGCCGGTGGATGGACGAACGGGAGCGGCAGCAGGGCCGCGTCCCCCTGAAGGACGTCGTGGCGGACTGCACCCGGCGGTGGTTCCAGGACGCGCTCAAGGAGGCCAGGGCCGGGGATGCCGCGATGCAGGTTCTTGTTGGTCAGATGTACCATAGCGGCTACGGAGTCCCGAGGAATGAGCAAAAGGTGAGATTTTGTAGGGGTTCTGATCGTTTTTAGCGTTCTTGAAGTGTGATTTGTTGAACGTGGCAGTTTCTTGAGATGTAGGTTTTGTGATTTGGGGAAACCTGCTGGTCTCGATCGTAAAGAATCGTCTTTAGGGTTCTCTTTGTGTTTTCTAGGAACTAGGGCTTCGATTGGTAGCAGCACCTAATAGCTTACGTAAGATTCTGAAAATATGCTTTGAATTCCTTAAAAAGATGCTTTTGGTCTTTGTGTATTTTGGTTGCTGAAATCATCAGCATCTGACAACGAACAAAACATGAATCGCTGATTGTGTCAGGCAGCTTTAAAATAGGAGAAAATATAGTGGCAGCTGCATTTGGATCTGTTGTCTGATAGATTTCTCCCTTATCATAGTCTTTTGGCTTTCTGGATCATCCAGAATTTTGTTGCTGGGACCTCTGAAAGAGAAGTTTGAGTTCTTTCAGAAACTCTGACAAGTATTATATGTTTTGGTTTTTTCTATACATTATATGTGGCTAGGCCCTATGTGACGCGGTTATATAATTGCTTACAGCATAAGCAGTCTTCTAGACCACATTTTAGAACTATCCAGGTGTTTGATGTAGTCATAGTCTTAAACCGGAGTTCGACTTTCTTACATTTGGTTTCTTGAAAAGTGGATTGGTTGTAGATCCTTCAATGAGTTAGTACTAAAACACCTGAAGATGTTCGCTAGATATTATAGACTTGCTTTGATAGAATGAGGTGAATTATAGATTTCTCAAAGAACATTTTGGTTCAGTTTTTAGCAAATAGAAATGTAAAGAAAAGGAATCTAATTGCACCTAATCAAAGTGTTTCCAAATGATATGCTGATTGTTTAGAGTAAAACTGTATTGTTACAAGTGCCGTGGACATCATCTAAAGGACCAAACTGGTGAAGGTTCGTATTGTGAGATTCATATTGAGAGAAGCAGAATCATATTTGTGGTTTGGAAGGTCAGTGGAGAATGTTATATATTGCACAGCTATTTGGAAAGCACTTGTCATGCTTGGCTAAGTTTCTTCTTGGGAAAGATTTAATGGAACTCCTGGAGCATAGCTCCTTACACAAGAATACTTGTGTAGGTCTGTCTTACCTGTGATTTGCAGAGTGAAGTGTTTAATCTCCCCTTTGTGATCCACACACTTCAATAAATGCCTCTTTCTCTATTACTTTGAGGTCTCTACGTCTTGAACAAAACTTCATGAGAAACTTCATGGATCTGAAGATTGTTGACAATGCTTCTGGTATCAAGCAATATGACAACTTTTTGTTACCAAATTTTGGAAATTGAAATCCAATTATCTCCTTGGTTTGTAGCAAGGCATTGGATTTGAGGATTGCATGTTTGGAAGATGAAGCTGTTTGGTTCTGAAGGTTGTACAATTTGAAGATGCAGGGTAACACGTACTCATAATCTTGTGCGGCAAGGTCAGTTCTGTGAATAGTGTATAGTGTAGTTTGTGAAGTTGAGAACACATATCATTGGGCCCTCGTTGGGCAGCTTAGGAGAAACAATGATTCTGCCAGATTTCAATTCTGCAATTTGTTTAACGTTAGGATTCTTGTACATTGGGACTCTTCTGGATACTCTTGAGACATTGAATTGACAAATAATCATGCCATCATCATTGGAAATTCTGAGCAAAGGCTGCTCTTTAGGTGGACTGAGTTGACCCTAAAGAAATGTCTGCCTCTCAAACACCTTACATGCGAGGCACGTATATATGGGGCCTCACCTGGGTGCAAACAGTGAGAGTGAACCCTGAAAATTTTTTGAGGATGATCCGGTCCTCCCAAATAACCTTCATCATGACGTGTGCTAGTCTTATTAACTTATCGACTACATGCGTGTAAAGGTATGTGTCTGCAGTTATGGGAAATAATAATTTTGGAGGTTGTAGAACACTAATCCAATGACAGAGAACTGTAATCATTGGATAGTTCCATTAAATTAAAATGTTTCAGAACTATATATGAATTAGTTATTTCATATTGTTGAAATAATGATTAAGAATCTCCTTTGCAAGAATCCTAATGAGCATCTGCTTTTAAGGCATATACATGGATTTCAAAAGCATCCAAGTACCGTTCATCAGTTTGGAAGGTTAGCGACAAGCGTCCAGGTAATGTTCTATCTTTTTTTACCATTACTATTTTTGCATTGACAGGTTAATATCTTGGGGTATGTGTGTATGCATGTCTATTTTTGTTCCCTTTTTTATTGTTGGGGGGGTCTATGTTTTTTTGTATGTGATATACTTGTACTTTTGCTCTCATAGCTTTTTGTAAACTCAAAATCTTCTTCTTTTGCATGGTTTTTGTTGCTCATGTTATTGTTTTGTATGTTAGGTTACAATGCCAGTGATTCAGACACTGATGAGGAGAAGATGAGCATGAAATCGTGATCCGAGAGGCTTGAATTTTAAGAAATCATATCAAAGTGAGTTGTGTCTGTCCATCTTTCACATCATTATTAAGATTGAGCTTCTAGCTGGAATGTTGTTTTATTGAGTTCAAGGGGGAAAGAAATCACTCACTAGAGCTAATATAATGTTATTGCACATTTGAATACTTAAATATGGTAAATCATGTATATTTTACAAGTGTGAGAATACTTCTTTTTTGTTGAAAACCAAAAAAGTTAGAAGCGATACACACGACTGAGTTGTGAATGATGGATGATCTAGGATGGAGTTCTTGCTTCCTGATTGTTTCCATTTTTTCTTCCAACTATATCTTAATACCCTACATAACCAGCACTACTAGCTTAAGTCTTTCTATTAGCTTCTTCAGATAATTGAGGCCCTCCATACACCAAAGAAATCAAACCATCAAGATTGTGAGAAAGGGTTCTCATGGTTTTTGTGAGCCAACTCTCATAACATGTTGTTAGTACTTGTCATGTGTATTAGACTAGAGTCCAGGTTGAGATTATAGAAGAGCTCGAACATTGTTAGTTTATCTAAAATATCGAATGCTTTGTTTTATTTATCATGTAATTTTATGATTAGTTTTCCGTTTTTTCTGGAAGTTAAAATGTTTGGTACAAAGTACTGAAGTTCTACACACATCTTTTGAACTTTGAAACTACTAATGACCTTCTAAAAAATCAACTCGAAATGCTAGCATGTCAAGCATGGTGACATAATGGTATATTGGGTTCATAGATGTTCCGGTTTGGGTCATTTTTGCGATTATTTTATTGGCAATTTGTGCATCGAAGGAGAAAATAGCTTTTGCTTTTGGAAGAAATAGTTAGCTGCATTTCAAATCTGATCCATTCGCATTATTTTGCTTAATTGCAGTCTCTAATACCTTTTTTTTTTTTAAGAATGTTAAAAACTATATTAGATTAGCCATAGCTAAAAAAAAATGGAGGAAGTGTTGACGGCTGATACCTATTTACATAATTGCTAACTCCGCCATATTTTGTTTGTGTTGCTTGCTTATTGTCGATGGCTGATACCTATTTGCTGGTCTTATAATTTCAGTTGGAATGCTTACAACACTCGCGTGATTTTTGGGAACTTTTACTGCTACCAGTGCATCTGTTTCAGCATCTGTTCATTACCTTTCCTCCCCGTGTATCTCTTTTTTTCGTTTACGATTATATTGATATGAATACAACTCTGTTCTTCGAGTTTTGGAACTCCAATAAATAATGTAACAGTTCAGTGACGGACACAGTTTCTGTTTGAACAAATGAATCATTTACGGTCCGCTTTTGTCTGTCTGCGACGATATCGGTGCATGTTGACCTTTGTTAGCTGGTTTCGTCTAGATTATGCAGCAGTTTGACCTATTTATAATCTTATAAATGAAAAGACAGACTTAGAGATGAAAACTTAGGATACCGTAAGTAATCATTCAAGTAAATACGGTAAAATGTAAATATAAGTAAATACTTTACAGGCACCGTAAAATATAAATGTAAGTTTTGAATCGCCCGACCCTCCGACGATCAAGTCAATGATGTGGATTGGTGCGGTGTTTTCCTATGTCTCTTTCCCCTTTTCTCCTTTTCTTTCCCTCAGGCGCTTAGAACGCGAGGGTATTTATAGGGTAGTTTAGTGTTACCTGATGTGCCTGCCCGCAGGGAGCAGGATCGTACCTCTGATGGCGTCTGACATCGTTATTGGCGTGGCATAAGGGATCGAGCCTGAGCGGTCGTTAATGGGCCTCGGCCTGTGTTCTGGTTCGTTTGACCAAGCTCTAACGGGTTGATCGAGGCGTGAGCTTCGTCTGGGTCAGCTGACGTAAGCTCGAGTCTTGTCGCTATTTATTACCCTCATCAGGTGCCACAAAAGGTCAAAAGCAATCTATCACCTTAGCAACAAGATTGAGTGATAGATCCATCTTTCTATATAATCGAATCCTCAGTCGATCCGATGTCACGGTCCACTATAATCGAATCGAGCTGTAGTAGGCATTACTCTATCTATACCATTTACATGTTTTACAAGATAAAAACACATGTTTAATTTTATAATTATTCATGCTATATATAAATTTTAAATGTTTAATTTTTTTGATTAAAATATATTATAATTCGGAATTAAGGGGATTGGTTATCATTTAGGTTAAAATTACTCCACAGATTAAGCCATTATCTGTAGACTAGGATCAATCATAAACTAGGTCCAACCAATGAGAGATTAACTTAGATCGATTCAAGGTGATTCCAAATCAGTTTGATTTATTCAAGCATGTTTAATCTAAACATAATCTAGTTCAAATTATACTAATCTACAGTGATTCTAGATCAATTAAATGAGGATTAATTCAGTTATGTTCTAATTAAATCGAGTTCAATTAGATCGATTGAACGTTCAAATTAATCTAAGGCTGATTGATATTATTTGATATTAATGATATTTGAAAGATAAATTAAAATATTTTAATATATTATTTTATCATATAGGGATATGACTAGTTTGAGATTATTTTATTTCTTTGTCGAGGATAGATAAGGTGATTTTCTTGGAGAATTAGCAAGTCATTAAATGTGGTAGTGGGACGATTCTTTCATATATTGTTAGGAGGAACGTGTCCCCACTTTGGTATGTGATGGACATCACTTCATTTACTATTAAGAGTGCGATTTAAATTTGTCTCCATTCGCTAGTAAGAGAACATAAACTCAACTCGTAGGATAAAACCTCTTCATCAACTATTAGAAAGTGATCTACATTTGATACATATCAATGGGATAATTAACTTTTGGATATATATTTTATATATTACTTATAAGGGTTTTTACTCAGTGTTGTTGAATTTTTTTTTTTTTTTTTCCTACCTTAAAAGCAGCTTCCCAATAACACTAGTCAAGATTTCAATCGAGAGTAAACCTTCATCTATTATTAGGTAGAGCCAATTAAATTTTATTTTGTAGTTCATATCATTATGTTTCTCAATAAGATCTATCGTTACTTTTTACATATATTTTGATAAATAATAAATTATAATAACTATTTATAATTTATGTATATTAATAAAAATATTTATCTATTTAACTTTTGATTATGTATCTGGAGAAAGATTTTTTGTAATCCTATAAAAAATAAAATTACAGATGTGACAAAGGATGTTTTCTGCAATTATTGCATTAAATGAATACCTTAAGGCATGACTTGATGTGCAAACGCAGAGTCCACGAAACAGATCTCTATGAATTACTAGTTCATGAAACCAATAACATCACATTCTTCTGGCAGCAGATCATGGAGAGTCTGCTCGCCAAACAACTCTTTGTCTGTGTTCTCCAACAAGAACAACCCTACCCATCACTTATCATGTCTCACAAGAACCATGTCTACCTTCAAATCTTCTTCCAGTTCTAAGCATCATCGATCGATTCAGCAGCCTGTCATTCTCGTCATCAATCATTTCACCATTAAACCATCACATCACATCAAGAACCAAACAGCCGATGAATGTTTTCACCTCAGCAAGACCCCATGATCTGATGCTGGTTTCTGTTCCAAATTCCTGTCGATTTTGGGACCATAGTCACTGTAAATATTCTTCCAAGAGTTGAAGTCAATAGACGTGTTGAATTAAGAATGCAACACAATTAGTTGTTGTAGACTTTTAGCTCCATCTTTCGTCGGTTCCTTTTGGCTCTCTCTTCGTTGCACGAGAAGTCTTCTGTGGCGGCACAAAGCACCAAACTTGGATCTCTTTCCTCGCGCAAGAAACTATATATGATCACCACACGTTTTCTACCTTTAACATTGCATCTCTTTATTGTGCTTTGTTTGGATCGATGAGAAACTTGATTGCAGGAGTAAGCCAAAGAATTCGATGCCAAGAATTGGGTCATCAGCAGCTGCAATAGCTTTACGTAATCCGGTTTGCTAATTGGTTGCATGTTCAGTAGTTTGAGGTAAAGCACGAACACCAGAAGACCGGTAGAAAGAGAATGATCGAGACTGTGATGGCCTCTTCCTATCAAGTTTGCTCGTATTTTGTTCATGCAAGAACAGCACGCACCCATCCAATTAACGCCTTCCCGACTCTTCATGAGTCATCTTCACGAACGCTCTCCAGACGCGGCCGCCATGCTCCGACCCGACCGCTCCAGCGGCGTCGAAGGCGTGGCTTCTTCTCCGCCGCCAGGCAACCGTGGTCCTCACTTGGCGCGACATCGATGCTCGGTGCGTTCTTCGCAGGCTTCTCTCGCCTATCGCTCTTCTTCTGCTTCCGCTGCGTCGGCGAGGTCGAGGTGGGAACGAGGAAGTAGATGTGGCCTCGCTTGAGCTGCGACTCCGCCGGGACGACCAAGGTCCGACGCGCCACGCCCTGAGAGCATGGCCGGGTGAGGAAGTGGTCGGGGTTTGCCGCCATGATCTCCCCGGCGGAGACGTGGCGGCGGCTGTAGTACTCCTCGACCTGGCCGTCAAGGTGGACGACTCGAACCACGTCGAAGGCGCCGCAGGGGAGGACGCAAGCCAAGCAGCACCTGAGGTTGTTGCCCATCTTCTTCTTCTTCTTCTTCTTCTTCTTGTCGCCGTATAGTAAGTACTCAAATGTCCATCCAAAGACTATGTTGGAGTTTGATGTACTCAATTCCACTCCGCAAACAACTCTATTCATTGACCTCTCAGTGCCGCGCCACATGTTCGAGTTGAAGTCCTTTTTTTATTTCTCTTCCTTTTCTTCTTAGTTCAACATTCATGACACGGCACGATCGGTTAACATAAAATATCGATAATGCTTTGCGTAAAATAAATCGATTGACAACGTCGTCGTCGTCGTAGGATTTGATTGAGGTAGAAGAAGACATGTGAGATGTGGCTTGCGATTGCAACATTATACCAAACCTCGAGTCTGCTGTCTTCGTTTGCCCCTCCTCGTGTGTTAAGAATCCATAGTCCCAACATTCGCACTACTAACGTAAAAGCATGATTCTTTCTTCTGCGCCTTTGCCTTTCGCCGGCACCAAACCATTTCTCTCCCCAGACTCACTCGCACTCACCCTTCGTTTGACGCCATTTTAGCTGCTCAGAAGAAGCTTCACGCCTCGTACTTCCACAAACAAGGCATGCATAGTAAAACACTACCGAGTAGAAACAACACCAGGCCACATGACTCATGACTTCTGCTACTCCTACGCACCCAAACATCACCTACACCGCCCAAAAAATACAAATAAAAATTTCTAGTACCATTACACACATATGGCGACAGCATTCTGAGCATATACTATTCTCCTCGTATTCTAAAAATAAAAATAAATAAACCTGTGGAATGCGTCTGCTTTCTAAATAAAAGAACAACTAATCTTCCGAGAAATGAATGGTCTTTACCTCCTGGGGCCGGACGAGAAGTCCGCATCAAACGTCCCCAACTCCGCCCTCTTTGGAACCTCCACCGGGCCGTACTCCCAGTCATCTCCCAGTGGCCTCCAAAGACTATCATCACCGTAGTCGAACCCCAGAGGATTCTGCGCCATGCCCCACAGTGTAGCATCTGGATTCTGCTGCAAGTCCAGCAGCGCTAGGTCGTCGGCTGCACTGATGCCCTGCCAGTTCACGTCCCCACCAACAGGACCGAGATGACAGGGCATACTAGCTTCGGCATCTGCACCCATCATCCTCAGCATCTCCTCTACGGAGAATTCTTCCTCCCGCCCATCCGTCGTAGGAGGATCCCGATCACCGGTCTGTCGAAGCTCTACGCACGCTTCGGTCGTAGTAGACTCTTTCTCCGCGTCATCTTTCTGTTGGACCTTTGGAAGCAGCTTCACATCCTTGTCCCAGTCATCCGAGACGTCTGTGGCATCGGAATAAGCCACCTCATCCCTCGGGTCAAACCTTGGAACCTTGCGGTCGATCTCACGAGAGATGGAGCCATCGACCGCACTGGATTTACGTGAAGTCGTGGTCGTCTCGCACGACTCCCTTCTCATGGCAGGGACGTCTGCAGCTCCCGGCAGGTTGACGCGGGCCATAGTACCGTACATGGCTCTTGCGGCATCGTCATAGGCAAGAGCAGCTTCCACAGCAGTCGGGAAGGTCCCCAGCCAAAGGCGACTGCCCCGGTTTGGCTCTCGGATCTCGGCAACCCACTTGCCCCAGGTACGCTGTCTTACACCGCGGTATCTGCATTTAGGGTTTTCTGGCCCACCTTTGCCTCGCATGCAACCTTTTCTTGAACCTTTTGCAGGTGCTCTCCGAACTCGCTCTTCACCATCCATGGAACGGTCGAGCTGGCGATTGTGTTCTCTC